ACAGGGTTTCTCTGTGTAGCTTTGCGCCTTCTTTCCTGGATCGCGCTCTGTAGACCAGGCTGGTCTCGAACTCACAGAGATCCGCCTGCCTCTGCCTCCCGAGGGCTGGGATTAAAGGCGTGTGCCACCACCGCCCCGGCATAGATTCATTTCTTTACATCAAAGATTAATTATCACCTGGTTGTAGATTCTTCCTGGACCCGGGGAGGGGACTATCGAGGGGCTGGACCCCCATAGTCCCCGATACCCAGAGATTCTAAAGCCTGTGCAGGATTTCAGATACAAGGACTGGGTAGCAGCTACGATAGTCAGAACTGACTCTTCAGAGGGAGATGCTGCCCACTGGTTCCCTGACCCTGCCCAGTCTTCAGAGGCAAGCACTCACTCAAGCTCTGGGCTTTCCTGCTGCCTTGCTCATTTGAAAATGACCACAAGTCCCTGGGCCTAAGGACTAGAGGCTTCTTTTGTAAGTTTTTATTTGTGTATGTGTATGTGTGTGTGTGTGTGTGTGTGTGTGTGTGTATGTATGTATGTATGTATGTATTTTCCCTAAGACAGGGTTTCTCTGTGTAGCTCTGGTCATCCTGGAACTCACTCTGTAGACCAGGCTGTCCTCGAACTCACAGAGATCTGCCTGCCTCTGCCTCTCATAGTGCTGGGATTAAAGGTGTGCGCCACCACCACACAGCCAGCCTCAGTTCTTAGAGGAGGGCTGACATGTCTTTACCTTGATGCTGAACATGCTTGTGTAGTAACTCGCAGAGCAGGGACAGAGAGAGACACGAGGAAGGCCACAGCTGGCTGAAAGAAGGGCATGGTGGGATACACTCCCTGAGAAGATAAGTGAGTGGCATAAAATGCTTCCCTGTGACCTTCCTTGAAGTTGCTAGGGGTGATGGGTGTGGGGAAGGCATTTCTGGCCCCAGGAGCCATCAGGTAGCTAGAGAACATATTCAGTGACAGGGTTTTGGATCTAAGTCCTTTAGACCCTTGGGCAGGGCCTGAGTCACCATCATTACCTCAGGAGTTCCCAGAGACTGCACCTGCCCCAGATCAGGGCCTGCACACCTGCTGGGCATGAAGCCCCTGGCTGCCAGGCCTTCTCAGCATTATCAGTGGCACCAGCTACATGCTTAGAGGAAGGGCAAACCCTCTGGAGGAGGGTTTCTGCCAGTCACCACCCCGAGAGGGAGCAGCACTGCTTCCTTAGGCAAACCTTCAAGTGCCTGCTTTACATATTGTGGTCCTGCTTCTATAAAAAAAAAAAAAAGGCCATGATGAGCAAGCCAGTAAGCAGCATGGCCTGTGCATGAGCTCCTGCCTCCAATTTCCTACCCTGTTTTAAGTTCCTGTTCTGACCTTCTTCAATGATGGGACTACAATATGAAAATGTGAGCCAAATAAAAACCCTTTCCTCCCCAGTTCACTTTGGTTACGTGTTTCATCACAGCAACACTAACCCTAACTAGGACAGATGGGGAGGGCTGCTGGAGGCAGACAGTCCAGTGAACAGGCCCAGGGTAGGAAGCAGCAGTCAGGTGGCTAGGGAACATGCCCGCAGGGTGTTGGTGCCTGAGCGTAGAAGAGAGAGGCCAGGACTTTGGCTTCCCAGTGCTCTGTCTGGGAGTCATGTCTGGTGGTGGTCAGAATGGCTTTGTAGTTAGCACACACAGGTCTCCGAGGAGCCAACTCAGTGACTTTGGCCTTTTGGGAGCGTGGGCGAGGGTGGGCCCGGCTCAAAGCCGCCATTGTCGTCCCCTTACATGCCTGACTGTCTGGAGCCTAAAATAGAGCCGGAATAGAGTGGTCCCGTGAGAAGATTCCGGCAAAGGGCTATGGGGGAAAGGGAGTGAGTCACTACTGGGAACCTTTGAATTTGACACTCCCAAAGCTGCCTCCCTGCCCAACCTCAGGAGTCTGAAATCCACTAGGGGAAGCATTCCACACCCATCCCTGTCCATTTTGGTCTAGTTGGGGTGCTGGAAGGCGTGGCTCTGGCCTCAGCTCTGTCATGGAGGAACTGAGTGACTTGCCCATGCCTCATCTCCCTGGGAGCCTGTTTCCCAAAGGTACCAGAAACAAGGGACCTCAGACACCCGCTGTGAGGGCTCTGGTGATGATAGAAGGGACCAATCCCAGGACCAGCACCACTATCCACCTCTGTATTTCTTTACATCTCAGTTTCCTGTCTGTAAAGATCTGTTATTTGCACGTTTCAGGTCAAGCAATCCATGTGCGGTCCTGAGAGCTCCTGGAACCTCCCACCTACACCTCCAAACCCAGGTCCTCAGCTGGCACAGTAGGGAACTTAGCCCAGAATGCTCCACTTTTTCATGCTCTGTACTGGACACACTCTTGCCTCCAGTTCCTTGCATCCTGGGGGTGAAGATGCATGTTGTCTCCAGGCCCAGAACCAGCCAGGAAGCCTGGCTCTTCGTGGTTACTATACTATGTGCTTGCCGCCCCCACCACCCGTATTTGACTCAAGTACGCGTTGTGTGGTGGTCAATTGGATCCTGTTCTGCGTGCAGAAGGCGGCTGCGGGGGGCTTTGCACCTGGTGTCCGGGTGCGTAGCTGGCTCGCCCTCTAGTGGCCACTCTGCTCAGATTCTTGCTCCGCCGCGGGCAGAACTGTCCCAAGGTCGTGAGACCCTTTACTGGTGTCTCCTGTCACCCTCCTACCTGCAGCAGCTCCATTCCCTGTAACCAGGGGGACGAGGCATGGGCAAGTCACTATGGCCTTACACAGAGGCCTCTCAGAGACCTTTCCCCACTGCGGCTGCGCACCCCGCCCCATTACCATGGAGATTGCTTGTACACAGTTTCCCTTCCCCAGTGTCCTAAGCGAGGCCCCTCCGACGGGACTGGTTCCCGCTTAGGAGGGGGCCCGCCGGGCTCTGCAGCGGGCACTCATGAACATCAAGGCCCCAACAAAGCTGGCCGTGGGCAGAGTGAGGTTCTTCGGTCAACACCGCGGGGAGGTGAGCCCTGGGTCTTTCCAGCTCAAGAACAGACTCCAGATTTATCTTTTCCTTTTGGTTTTTAAAACAGGGTTTCACTATGCGGTTCTGGCTGTTGTGGAAATCACTATATAGACCTGTCTCTTCCTCCATTGTGCTGGGATTCAGGCGTTCACGCTAGGCCCCCCCCCCCTTTTTCTATTTGTTTGAAGATAGGGTATCACTACGTAGCTGTTTAGCCATGAACTCTCGATGTTAACCAGGCCTCAAACTCATATGGATCTGTTTTGTCTTTTGAGGCAGCATCAGGCAATCCCCCGTCCTCTGCCTCCCTGGTGCTGGGATTAAAGGTGGGCACTATTATGGCCAGCCTAGACTCAATGCTCACTATAGTCGACTTTGAACTTGTCAATTCTTTTGTTAACTGTGGGAGCCCGTTCTGGGGTTCCTCGTGGCTTTACCCAGCAGGTCCTCATAGAGGATGATCAGGACCACGGGCCTGAGTGCAGGTGTCTGAGATGGTCTGCACTGGGCTGTGCTGGGGGAGGAGGTCTTTTGCTCCACCCCTTGGCGTCTCTATAAATATCCTGGACCAGAGACAGTCGGGGCCCGTTGGAATAGGTTCCAGGCCCTCTCGAGGCTATCCTGTATTTTCTATCTGTTTATCTCCACAAGATTCTCCGCTATAAATCCTTCTAATATTTCCTGCTGCTCGCACTCAAGAAAACTCTGGGAAGCTGTGGGGGTGGTGGGTAAATGCCCCACAGTTAACAACCCTAGCTGTCCTGGAACTGGCATCAGGCTGGCCTCCAGTTCCACTTGCCTCTGCCTCTCAAGTGCTAGGATTAAATAAAGGTCCACGCCATCATGCCTGGCTGATTTGTCAATTCTTTTCAGAACTGGCTTTAGGATTTGGGTTCCAGCCTAGGTTTGAAGGGTCCTGGAGGTTATTACCTCACCCTGGGTTCCTGGGCAGGTTAGAGTGAGGGGACCGAGGACTTCTGACAGGCATGAACCACTTTTGCCCTGTACTTTCAGGTCAACTGCTCTGCCTTCTCCCCTGATGGCCAGACCCTGCTCACAGCCTCAGATGATGGTTGTGTATATGTATGGGAGACGAAGAGCAGGCGCCTGCTGCGGAGAATGGCAGCCCACAGAGGTGGGACTCAGCCACCTGGAGCCTGTCTCGGTGACCTATGACTTTGGGGGAGAGGGTTGGAGCAAGAGTCTGGCATGGGCTGCTGGCAGGGAGAAACCAAACCTAACACTCGGGGACAGACCTCTCATCCTAAGAGACCTCGACTCAACTCTTCATTTTGTTTTTCTGGGACAGGATTTCTTTGTGTAGCCTTGGCTGGCCCCAAACTCAGAGATCTGCCTGCCTCTTCCTCAAGTACTTGGGATTAAAGGTACCACCTGGCTCAAATCTTAACTTCTAAACACTAGACATGTACCCAGTGGTACTCAGATTAATTCTCCAAAACTTTCCCTTTTTTGGCAGAACTGCACCCACGAAACACCCCATTCCCTTCCAGCTCCCCCCCCCCCCATCAACAGTATTTAACTGGCTTATTTCACTTAGCTTCGTGTCCTCAAGGTTACCTGTTGTCCTGTAGGGGTAAACTTTACTGTGTTCTTGGTTGTAGGATAAGCCTGTGCAAGCAAGGTGTCTAACCAGTTAAAACAAACGAGGGAACGATGGGACAGTGACTAACTCTGAAGGCAGTTTAGACCAGAGCCAGAGGGTGGGCAGTGAGGGTGTTACTAGGAGGGATTAGAACGGTTCTGGATGATGGTTTCTCAGATGGGCAAGCTGGGATCGTGTGTTCCAGCTGAGTCCAGCGCAGGTCAAGCCCTGGAGTTAGAATCACAGATGACAAATGTGGACTGAGGGCAGGAGAACAATGTCATGTGTTCCCTGCCTCAGGCCCAGTGAAGTTCTGTCGCTTCTCCCCTGATGGCCGCCTCATTGCCAGCTCCTCCAGTGACCGCACTATTCGCCTTTGGGATGTGGCAAGATTCAAGTGTCTACATGTGCTGAAAGGTAAGTGGCTGGCTTGACTAGGAGCCACAGGCTTTGTGGACTGTCTGTCCTCTTTCCCACCTTTGGGCTGGTGTCTACAGGTCACCAGCGGAGCGTGGAGACAGTCAGTTTTAGCCCTGACTCAAAGCAGCTGGCATCAGGTGGCTGGGACAGGAGGGTCATTCTCTGGGAGGTGCAGGTATGAGAGACTGGGGCCCGAGTCAGAGGTGACATGTGTTCTCTGTACCAATGTCCCTTAGCAGCCCCCCTACCCAACCAGGTACCTAAGACTTCCCATCTGGCTATGGCAGGCTTTCCAGGGCCCCCTGCACAGCATTTTCCAGCCTGCATGCCCTTCCTTCCTGAGGCAAGGCCCAGCTTCCTTAGGCCAGTGGCCAGGCAAGGAACATCTGGCCCCAAAGGCCTGGCCTAGTAAAGGGCTTTAGGCTCCTGGGCTGCCTCCCTCCACCTCTGTAGCTCACATTCTCTCTACAGTCTGGCCACAATGTGCGCCTCTTGGTTGGGCATCGTGATTCCGTCCAGAGCAGTGACTTCTCCCCCAATGCAGACTCTCTGGTGAGTCTCACCCCACCCTGCCATCAGTGGCCATAGGAGTGGCAAGAGCCATTTCATACTCATGGTCATTGCCCACAGGCCACTGGTTCCTGGGACTCGACTGTGCACATCTGGGACCTGCGGGGGGCGACCCCAGCTGCCTCCTATCAAGAGTTGGAGGGCCACACTGGCAACATCAGCTGCTTGTGCTACTCAGCGTCTGGGCTCTTGGTAAGGTGGGCTACCCCGTGCTTCAGGCCGGTCCCTATTTGCCCTGAGACCCTCAAGGGTACAGGCCATTGTGGGGTTCACTGAGCTCAGGGATGTCTGTTTAGGCATCTGGCTCCTGGGACAAGACCATCCGCATCTGGAAGCCCACCACCAGCAGCCTGCTTTTCCAGCTCAAGGGCCATGCCACGTGGGTGAAGAGCCTAGCCTTTTCTCCTGATGAGCTGAGGCTGGCCAGTGCTGGTTACTCACGCACAGTAAGTCACCCAAACCCAAGGCAGCACCTTCTCCAGACAAACCTCAGCTTTACTATAGTAGGCATGCCCATGGGCCCAGGTGCATTCCAACAGCAAGACCTAACGCCAGCACAAAGGACCGGGCTAATCTCTGACTGTCTCACATTTCTGTGCCAGAGGCCACGCAGGCACACTGAAACTCCCAACTCTACCGCCTGTTTTCACATCCAGGTCAAAGTCTGGGACTGCAACACAGGAGAATGCCTAGAGACCCTAAAGGTAAGGTGGTCCTACAGTGCTGGCCAGGACCAGTGCAGAGGCCCTGCAGAGGCCCAGGCCTGGCAGGACCCACCAACCCTGGCGCTGTGCTACTGACAGGGCCTGCTGGATGTGGCCCACGCCTGTGTTTTCACTCCCGACGGCAAGCTTTTGGTGTCAGGGGCTGCTGATGTGACAAGATGACACCTCTACCACTCCATGTAACTTACCACAGGCATAAAGTAAGATATGGCTGCATGCAGGGACTGCCCTATCCTGTAACCAGGGCTCACCCACTGTAGGTAAGTGGTCACCTGGGCCACCTCACCCCACTGGCCCCAGGTGGCCAGGGCGAAACAAGAAGCAGAAAGTCAGCCGCCTTGCGCTTTATTGCTTTCCATCAGGCCTTGACTGCGTACTTGCGCAGCGGGTACAGCCTCTCCTTGCGCTGCTGCTTCTTGGTCTTCAGCTTCTCTTCGTGCTTGGTGAGCCGGCGGCGCATGGCTCTAGTCCTCTTGGGTCGCAGGTCCAGAGGCTTGTACTTCTTGCCCTGGGACAGAGACAACAGGCTGAATCTGAGTACGAGGGGCTACCGGGACAACGGGAGAGGAAGCTGGACTTCTGAGCAATTTGTAGGCACTCAGAGCCTTTCAGCTGGGGACTGCCAATAAGTTCTAGAAGGTTGGCAGGCCCACTACTTGTACACTGAGCCCCTAATTTCAAGACTAGAGGGCCAAGAGGGGGCTAAACTTCACTGTTCTTATGTATCAACTGCTAGTAACTAAGTAAAAACCACAGCACAATCCAAAGGGCACAAGACACACACCGGGGTTCTGTGGTGGCTATTGCCACTGGCTACAATTAATGGACGGTCCATTAGGCAAGGCCTGGCCAAGGTCACCCTGACACAAGAGTTAAGACCCTAAGCCATTAAAAGAGCGGTTACCTTCCTCTATCTCCTAGTCTTTCCCAAGTGTTCGAAAGAAGCAGTCCAGTAGCCCCCCAGGAACCAGGTCCTATGGGTCAGGCTGTATGGAGAGCAGCCCCACCAAGAACTTCAAAGCAAGCTCCCCAGCAGCCAGTTGAAAAGCAGAGAGCAGGGCATGCACAAAGCCTTTATTCCCAGCCCTCAAGAGGCAGAGGCAGGTGGATCTCTGTGTGTGCGAGGCCAGCCTGGTCTACAGAGCGAGTTCCAGGGCAAAACAGAAAAAAAAAAAAAAAAAAAATTAAAGAAAAAAAGAGGTATAATCATGCGGCTGGAGAGATGGCTCAGCAATTAAGAGCACTGGGTTCAATTCCCAGCACCCACATGGTGGCTCATGCCTTTAATCACAGCACTCAGGAAGCAGAGGCAGGCAGAGCTCTGAGTTCATGGCCAGCCTGGTCTACAGAGCGAGTTCCGGGACAGTCAGGGCCACACAGAGAAATCCTGTCCTAAAAAAACAAAAAAGGGGGCTAGAGAGATGGCTCAGAGGTTAAGAGCACCGACTGCTCTTACAAAGGTCCTGAGTTCAATTCCCAGCACCCACATGGTGGCTCACAAGCATCTAAAATGAGATCTGGTGCCCTCTTTTGTGTACATAATGAACAAATAAATTAATCTCTAAAAAAAGAAAAAAAAAAAAGGCATAATCATGCTCCCTATTAATGGTTCCTCTCATCCTCAAAGGGACAGGCACCATCAAGTCACATTCTCATGCACCAAATTCTTGCAGGTGGATGGAGGATCCCAGAAAGCTGTGCAGGATGGGGTGGGGACACAAAGCTACCTCAGGTAGGCCCTCATCCGTGTTAAGTTCATTCATCCACTTAGAGCTCTGCCCCCAGAGCCCCACCAAACACACCTATCTACTGTTCTTTCTAAAATAGGGTGGCTAGATGGCAGAGCCCAATTTTAAGTGCCACACAGCATGTTGCCTGTAATCCCAGCATGGAGTGGCAGAGGGCATTAGTGAGCTCTAGGTTACCCTGGTCTACAAAGTGAGACCCTGTTCTGAAACTTCTTGTGGTCTAAGGGTATCTCAGTGCTGGTTTACTTACTTGCCTGACATTTGAAACTTCATGGTTTTAACCACAAAACACCACCTAAATAAAAAGCCTACATCTCCAGTCACATACGTGCCAGCAGTCACAGGGAAGCACAAAGTTTCCTACATCCAGTTCTCTGGTCCCCAGACTAAACTGAGGAACACTTCAAACCCTTCCAAGACTGTCAGAACCACGACAGCTTTCTGAAGTGCCAAATCCCAATACTAATTTGGTGAAATTTGCAGAGGCAATTAACTGACTCCACCAGATGACTTCAATTAAGGGGGATTGACTTGAGATCTGGTGCCCTCTTCTGGCCTGCAGTCATACGTGCTGTATACATAATAAATAAATAAACCTTAAAAAACAAACAAAAAAAAAAAAAAATGAGGCCTCCTCCAGAACTATTCCTTCTGGAGACCACAGCCCAGGTCACAGGAGTGAATTCCTGTGTGCCTCTGCAGTTTTGCTTTGCCTCTACACTAACATGACAAACAAGAATTTTTCCAGCAAGACAGGGTTCTGAAGAGGGGCTTTGGGACCTCAGTTTACCCACTGTGTGTGCGCCCTGGAACAGCAAGTGTTTGGCAGGTGAGACAACCACGAACAATTGGCCAGAGCTCCAGCTCCAAACAAACTCAATGACTGCAACACACATAGCTGAGAAGGCTGGACTCAGCTATGTCCACAGAGGGCTCCCCACTCTCACCACTGACCTATGCCAGTAGGGGAAGCTGGTAACGGCAAACCCGGCCACAAAATGGGAGCCTCTTGAGGGCATCCCGCCCTCCCGTGTTCCACAGAACCTCTCCACAACAGCTCCTGTCCAGTGCTCACCTTGTAGAATTTCCTGAGGTTTTCTTTTTGAGTCTGGTTAATGACGGTGAGGACACGGGCGATGGATTTGCGGACGACTCGTCTATGAAAACATGTCAGTGAAAACCAAAAAGTGCCAACTTGTGTCCAACTTCCCCAAGTCCCCCATCTGTATCACCTAGGAGGCAAAGTCCTGGAGGTAAGGGCAAGTTTGTCAACAGGCTCCCCAGGGAAATGTATGTGCCCAGAAACTTAATGCAGATAGGACAAGGAAAGGTCTTTTAACCCAGGCCAAGAGCTTATACCAAAGGCTACACTGTGAAATGGAAACTAGTCCAGCATTAAGGAATCACAATCTGATGAAACTCAACAGGTGTGAAGAGAGAACACCGAAGCCAGGAACAGGCCGAGAGCAGGTGATCAGAGGGCAAGGGCAGGTCTATTACTGTAACACGTGGTCTGGAGGTCTCAGGACATAATTTTGCTTATGTGTTTCTCTGCGCATCTTCTCAAGATTGTCTGGGATAGAATACTGGTGGCAACCATTAAAAAACCATGTTCTCTTCACCAAGTCTCCCTGGTCTTTAGCATGTGACTGCAAGTCCCACTACAACCCATGTAAGGGTCCAGGTAGGTGGCACCGTCACGGACCTTCAGGAATGTTCAGTTCTTTTTTTTTTTTTTTTTTGGTTTTTCGAGACAGGGTTTCTCTGTGTAGCTTTGCGCCTTTCCTGGAACTCACTTGGTAGCCCAGGCTGGCCTCGAACTCACAGAGATCCGCCTGCCTCTGCCTCCCGAGTGCTGGGATTAAAGGCGTGCGCCACCAACGCCCGGCGAATGTTCAGTTCTTTAAACTACATAAATTTACCAAGGGTGGTGATTGGTGGGGAAAGGCACAAGGAGTCAAGGCAGAAAAGGGTGTGCCCACCTGGGCCCTCAAGGGCTACTTACATCTTGGAGAGCTTGGACGCGGCGCCGCCTGTCACCTTGGCGACGCGAAGTTGGGATAGCTCAACCTTCAGATCGTCCAGTTGTTTTAGCAGCTCCTCCTTCTTCTTGCCGCGCAGGTCCCGAGCCTTAATCTTGGCCTATACGAGAGGCGACTCTGTGGGTCACCAAGCGGAAGCTCCCGCTTTCCCCGCGGTCGATCGCGGAGGGATAGTGCACGGGTAGTGTAGGGTAGGCGGTCTGTACCGGCCCGAACCAGGAGCAACCATGCAGAGCGAAGCCGTAAAACCCAGACGCTCCTTGAGACCCCCGCTCACGCCCCGCGCCCCGTGCCGCTGTCCCCACGCATTCCCCCGCCCGGATGGCACTCGATTCCCCCGGCCTTACCATAGCTCAGCTGCTCACCGCCAAGGCCGCCTGGTCCGAGAGAAAGAGGAAGAGGCGGGGCCGACTTCCGTTACTAATGCCGGTGGCGCCGAACACCGCCAATAGAGTCGCGGCATGGAAGGCCCGCCCCGCCTGTGCGCAGTCGCGTCAGTGGTTCCCGCCCCTCCTGGGTATCCTTCCCCACTTCTGTTGCCTGGTCTCTAAGAAATGCTCCTGGGGAACCCTGAACCTTTTGGGCTGGGCAGCTCCATGCCGTGAGATGGCGCAGTGAAGGCTGCAGTAGTCCAATCAGTCGTTTATTCATGACGCCTGTCATTCCCTGGTCTGTTCCCCTCTGAGCTAGTCGTGGATGGTCTGGGTGTGTAGAGCATGAGGTGTGAGGGTTTAATTCTTTAAAACTTTGACAGGGTCTCACTGTAAGTCCCTGGCTGGCTGGGAACCTTCCCAATGCTGAGATTGCAAGGGGTCGCCACCATGCCCCGCCAGTGTGTGTGTAGGTCAGAACCACGTGAGTCTCGGGGCGTGAACGCAGGTGGTCAGGTTCCGAACCATCTAGCCAATCCAGTTTTGTTTGTTTTTTGTTTTCGAGACAGGGTT